TTGGGAAAGCTATTTCAACTATTTTTTATTGTTAAAGGATATTCTATTGTCGATTATGTAAAAGATACATATCGAATATAAATTGCAAATTGACAATTGCAAAAAATAAAATACATAACTTGCATTGTTCAATGTAAAATAAAATGAATTAACAATTAACAAACTAAAATTGATTTATTTAGTTCCATTTAGTTTGAACGTCGTATTAGATTGTACCACTTGATCAAGTGATACTTTCTACGTCAGTTCTACAAATACATTTATGAAATTATTCTAACAATGACAAATAGGGGAGTGCAAATTAATAACTTGAAATAAATATATGTTAAAATATGTAAGGAACCAAAATAAAAAAATACATAAATTAAAATACATAAATAAATATGTACATGTATAACACATTTACCAAGGTTGGACTAAAATAGATATGTATACAAATATGATATGCTTAAGATATAAATTAACCATACTTGATAGCATAAAGGACTAGAATAAAAAACAACAAACATTACAAACCGAAATAAAATACCAAAAATAAGCATTTAAGGGACCAAAATATGATTAATAGAAATTTGAAGGGTTAAACAGTAATTAAAAACCAATCATAGCCAAGATCAAAAATATTACAAACTACAGGTACTGTAAATGAAATAACCCATAACTTATAAAGGACTAAAATAGAATAAAAATAAAAACATACATGTAAAATTCATGGTTTAATACAAAATACATAACAGTGACCAAAATGTAGGTGTAACTGAATTCAAAGCTTAAAGTAAATTATGTAAAAAACCCATATGATGACTAAAATGAAAGGAATACAAGATCGGAAGCAAAAAAGCTAAACAGATAAACAAATATAATATAGAACAAATATGACTAAAATAAAATACTAGACAGACACATAGCCCAAAATGAAAAGATAAACTTTCATTAGAATGATCAAACTACAAATGTTACAGAATTAAAAGGATCTAAACTATGATTTAACCCAGAAAATAACAAAACACGGAAGAAGTTACGAGGACCTATAATGCCATTATCCCCTTTAACCCATCGTTCGGCCCTCCCTTGTCTCAGAACAACGTCGTTTGACGTCTGAGATATAACCCCCTTAAGGATTATTTTGAAACCCTAAAATCATTTTACCCCCTTTCAGCCGACCCCTCTCTCTAATCTCTTCATCATTTTCTCTCCCTATCCTCCTCTCTTCGTGATACCCTCTCCCCATCGAGGAAAATAAACCCAAAGCCCCGACCACCGTAAAACAGTGGCCACGGGGTTACAAGTATCCCTAAAACCCTATTATTCCTTTCTTTTACCCTCTGCCCCTCACACGAGAACCAAAAGCACTGAGCCCTTAACCCCTTATAACTAGATCCAAACAACCTTACCTTCGAAAATGAAAGGGGTCCCTGACTCAACAAACGGAGGCTGACGATCTAGGTAAGGGTGCTTCCAATCTCTCTTTTTTCTTTTTGGTTCGAATCTGGTATCTTTCTCTCGGATTTCTTATGTTTTTTTATTTTCTGCTAACCCCTCCCCCTAAATCCGAATGCCTCTGCCTTCATTTTATCCCCCTAGCTTGGTGATTGATGGTTGTTGATAGAGTTGTTTATTGCCCGAGGAAATAGGGCTTGAGTGCCCTAGGTTTGTAGACCCGATTTTCCTCGGGATCTCTTGTCCTTGTTTTGATTTTTTTGATTATTTTTTCTTTATTTTTCTGTTGATGGACTGATAGACGGGCTCTAAGTCACTATAGGACTGTTTGATGGATGTTCAGCGGCGGTGATATTCGGCTTGAACGGTTAATGGTGTGATGGACGGTTGGGCAGCTGAACTGGAAGGTGGCGGCTGAGCGATTAGGGGATTAGGGTTGAAACCCTAATCTATTTAAGGTTGAAACCCTAATCTATTTAGGGTTTGACAAATAGGTCGGGGCCATTCTGGATCGGGTTGGATCCAATTGGTCTTCAAGTTGGTTGTTGAGTGGGCTGTAGTTGGGTTAGTCTTGGTTGGGCCTCTGTTCTGGGCTTTACTTGTACTGGGTCAAGAGCTGGACCTGCACAAAATGTAACTATGTTAATGAAACAATAATAATACATATAATAATAATAATAATAATAAAATTAAAATAAAATAGAAAAGACCCGGACAAAAACGAGTGTCTATAATCATGATTTCAAAGCAATGGTGAATAGTGTTATCAAACTAAACTTGATATATTATAGAAGTAGATGGACAATATTATATCAAATTAAAGCATGAGGGACTAAATTCCAAAATTCAATACACTACACAGACTAAAATTTACTCAAATTCTATAATTCATTTGGTCTGTGGACAAATCCAATCCCTCTTCTTCCACTCCTCTAGTAATTCAAGAATATCATTATTCGACTCCCCTCTACATAGCTCTCTGAATACTGTGTTATAAAGTTTTATATATCTTTAGAGATATCATCTAATAAATAATTAACGGAACGTATTAAATTATAGTCATTGACTATTGAGTTAATAATTGAAGTTTTATTAGATATAAACTTTAAACCAATTAATTCGATTGGATTAGCTTTTAGTCTTTTACCAAAGTGAACTTGAGATGCTTTACTCTTCTTTCTTATGTCCAGCCCTGGTGTTTGGTTTGATAGACTTTTCAATTCCTTTTCATGGAGAATAATCAACTTCTAAAAAGAGATTTATTCTCCCATATCTCTTTATAAAGAAAAATCACCTTTTTATTTATTTTTATAAAGGAAATTACCTTTTATGGTTGAATTATCAATTGCTAATGTTACTCTTGTAAAAATATAAAGTTAATTAGGTTAAGGGTTTCCTGTATTGTAGAAAAATAACAATTCTGTCTGACCTTATGTAAATAAGGTACCCTGTCTATATACCTTAATTTGACTCTTAAACCAAAACTAAACAAGGACAAATGTGAATGATAATGTTAAATACTAATATTGTATTAGCGATATTTTAATATTTATGACATTTTAAAAAAATATAAAAAAATGACTAAACGATGGAAACTATTGTAAATTTAGTGCAAACACTGATAAATCATTATTATTTGAAAAAAAAATAATTACTATAAAACGTTTTAAACTTGTTTATAAGTGAATTTATTTAAAGTTTAAAACTTAAATTTTATTAAAATACATGATTAACTATATATTTTGACATTTAAAATTTGTGACCACACGTTAAAAGCATACGACTGAAACCCTTTCATAAGCGATAGGCCATTGTCCGTCTGTGACCGCAACTGTGATAACGTCTTCTTTAGTACAAATTTAACTCTAGCACTAGCAAATGTATAATTAATTTTTGGTAATGGCAAATGTATAATTATTAACCTTTGGGAATGGAGTATGCAAATTATTCGCTTCACTTCAGAAATGAGTAATATTTTTTTATTTCAAATATAAATTATAAGATAAATATAAAAAGATAAGATATTTTAGACAATAATAATGTATATTGGCAGATTGAGGGTCCCAATGTTTTAGTTGTACGGGGAAATTCTTGTTGCGTCTTAAAAGTTAAAACCAAAGCTGCTAACATCCATGGGTTCTTAGGTCTTCGTTCTTGTCGATTGGTTATGGTTGAGCTGGGATTTAGCTGAGGAAAGAGAATGTTTTTTGGGAACGTTTGGTGAATTGGTGTGGCACCCGCTCATATTCTCAAAAGTCGACCATAACTTGGATGGCAGTCTTAGATCGACTTCCAATAAAAAAACAGGCTTATTGCTTTTGGGTTACAGGTCGATGGTTTATGCGTTCTTTGTAGACATGAAATAGAGTCTCGTGATCACTTGTTCATCGTGACTTCTGTGAAATGGTTTGGGAGGAGATTTTGCGCTTCTGCCATTTGAACAGAAATGTTATGTGCCGCGAGTCGGAGCTTGAGTGGGCTTGCAGGTTACGGATAAGTTGTCTTATGTTGAAGTTAGCTTGGAACCAATGGTGCACCTATAAATTTGAGAATAGGATTCTAAAATTTTAGTTTTTTTTAAAATAATGGGTATGCAGATTTTTTTTATTTTCTCTATTTTCCCTTAATGCATTAAACTAAATTTAACGATTTTTTTAAAATAATAGAATGTATTTAACCCCTATGAGGATTTAGTGCATCTGCCCTGCTTGAAACGGTACTATCCCTTTAGTATGGAGGGAGCGAAACTACGTGATATTCCAAAAAATTGATTTTCCTACTTAAGATATTGTAGGTAGAATTAAACAACAACAACAATAAAATCTTATTCTCATATGTTAAAAAAAGTTAACAGAATAAGGGATGGTTATAAGAGAATTTGTTCTAACTGAAATCTTGAGGATTAATTTTATTTCCTGAGGTTTCTGTTGTTTGTATTGCTGGTTACTTGAGTGTTAATACTATACAGATCTATTCATGGGAAACAATTAATAATGTATTTTACACTCTAAAAACGACATTGTTTTGTGATATTATTAAAAGAAATAATATAAATTTGAGGGGAACCATCAACAGTGCCGTCAACGTTCCTATGCTGGAGCGAACAAATTTGGGTACGCCCGGCAAACTGCTGTTCTAAACATCCACCGACACATCAACGTCAAACAAAGTACAGCTGCTCATTTATGAAACAGCCCCATGCAACGGCTCTCTGCTCTTATTTTCCGAGTCACCCCCTCCATTTTTAATTTTTCTGGCTTTGGCGACGTTTCCTGGAAACCAGAGAGGAAGCTATATTAGACATTAGACCCCACCTTCCATGGCTTATTCGCGACTTTTCATTCCTTAAATATCACTTCACCCCCACCAGGGAATCTCCTCAGGTTTACCTTGTATCCTTTTTACCTTTTAAAAGAGTCTATCAGAAAAGCAGTGTTCCGTCCCACACTGGAGTCTCTAATACGCTTATCTATTAACAAAGCCCATGTTCATCAAGTTCCACTCTTCATAAAATCTCATGCTTGTTCAGCAAGTCGTAGCCATTGATTAAAAATCCAATCTTTGACCTTTCTCCTGCTCTGTTTTTTCATTGTTTTAACAGGGCATCTGGAAATGGGTCTTCTTCTTTCACTTTACTTCCTCTTCTTTTTCCTCTCCGTTTCGAGTAAGCTCGATTCCAAAACCTTGAAATAATAACAGTCGTTTTACTTGATTTTGCGACTTTTTTTAACATGTGAAAATTTTGATTTGGTGTTTCAGGTGGGGAGATCTCAAATTTTGTGGGAGTGAACTACGGCCTGCTTGGGAACAATCTGCCATCACCGAAGCAATCCGTGAAGCTAGTCCAATCTCTGGGAGCCAAGCGTGTCAAAATCTACGATGCAAACCCCGACATCCTTAATGCTTTCAAAGACACAAACATTCAAGTGTCGGTTATGGTTCCAAACGAACTCATAATCAATATCTCCAACAGCCAGAAGCTAGCCGATTCTTGGATCGAATCCAATGTCGTACCTTTTTACTCCAAAACCAAAATCCGACACCTCCTTGTCGGCAACGAGGTCATCAGCAGTTCCCCTAAAGAAATCTGGCCCAGAATCGTACCCGCCATCCGTAAAATCAGAAGTTCGTTAAGAACCCATAACCTCAACAAGATCAAAGTCTCTACCTCGATGGCAATGGATATGTTGGAATCGTCGTTTCCCCCTTCGAACGGAACTTTCCGATCTGACATCGCCGATCCGATTGTTAAACCGTTGCTACAGTTTTTGAACCGGACCAAATCTTTCTACTTCCTTGATGTTTACCCTTATTTCCCTTGGGTAGCGGATCCAAAAAGCATTAACCTCGATTACGCGCTCTTTGAGTCCCGAAACATAACATACACCGACCCAGTTTCCTCTTTAACCTACACCAATCTGTTTGATCAGATGGTTGACTCTGTTGTTTTCGCAATGAAGATACTCGGGTACCCGGATGTTAGGATCTTTATTGCGGAAACGGGTTGGCCGAATGCCGGCGATATCGATCAAATCGGAGCCAATATTTACAATGCGGCTACATACAACCGGAACGTTGTCAAGAAACTAACTGCTAAGCCGGCGATCGGAACGCCGGCGCGACCCGGATGGGTTGTGCCCTCTTTCATATTTGCTCTGTATAATGAGAACCAGAAACCGGGTCCGGGAACTGAGCGGCATTTCGGGCTGCTGTATCCTAACGGGTCATACGTATACGGGATCGATTTGAGTGGGAAGGCTCCGGCTTCGGATTTCGAGCCTCTGCCGAAGCCAGATAATAATGAGCCGTATAAGGGGAAGATTTGGTGCATGGCGGCCGGAGGAGCTAATGCGACTGCGCTGAGCTCGGCTTTATCGTACGCGTGTTCGCAGGGGAATAAGACCTGTGACCCAATTCAACCCGGAAAGCCATGCTTCAAACCCGATTCATTGTTTTGGCACGCGAGCTACGCGTTCAGTTCTTATTGGTCGCAGTTCAGGAAGGCTGGCGGGAGCTGTTACTTCAACGGCTTGGCTACTCAGACGGCTAAGGATCCAAGTAAGAATATTATTAATTATTATAAATAAAAGAGTTATATAAACATAATAATAAAAAATACTTCAATTCTTAAAATTATAATAATAATGTCGGTCGTACTAAAGTTTACGAATTAAAGCGGAAATTGTCACACCTTTTTCGCGTTTGTAATTATTTTCTTTCTGACTCCCAGGTTTTGGACACTGCAAGTTCCCAAGCGTGACTCTTTGAAGAACCTTTTGTGGGAAGTGAATGATGGAGTGGAAGACACAATCGCAGGTGTTCTATGATTAAATCCATTAATATGAACAAATTTAATCATAAAACAGCATTTTCAAATATAACGGGTGGGAAGATTTAGGGTTAAAATGACATTGGTGTGATATTGCCGTCCGGTCCTCTCGTTTCGCATTGTGAGCTTAGCTTAATTAATGTACTGCATACATTAAACAATTATTTATTGAAACGGGCATTCACGGTTGGTAAGAGTATTGTGATATAATATTCTCATTTTTTAATGAGATGACATATCATGGATCCTGCTGCCCAACGGCTAGATAAAATAAAGGCTACTTTGATTTGCTGGTTGCTGCATTCTTTAAAATAATTTTTTTGCTTATAGCTTCCTTTTCGGCTTTTGGCATTTTTTTTCTCACCTAAGCTTCTGGATAGCTGGGGCCAGCTAAGCTAGGCTCTTCGTGTTACCTTTCTGAAAGTGGTTCATCAACTTTGGATCACTGTCATAACACCAAAACTACTCAATTTCTTCAACAAATTATATTAAAATTTATTAACTTTTTTCATTTTAATTATCAAACTTATTAAATTTTATTAATTTATTATAAAACATCAACTTCTTTCACAGGACAAGACCTACCTTAATATTGAAAATCAATGCATGCTACCAGTGTATGAGCATGGTCAATTGATTATAGACGAGAGAAAAGAAAGGGTCACTCGTTAAGCTTCTGACATATACCTATACCTTTACATGGAGTCCGAAGACTTTTGACCCAACTTAGCCCATCCAAATGGATTGAGGTCCCGGCCCGCTTACTATTATTAGTTTGGGGGGAAGAACTTCAGTTTACGATTTTGTTGTTGATAACTTCAATAGATTCGTGATTCTTGATTCAATTGATAACTTCAAATATCGATCATATATAATTTAAACTTTATCTGAATTTTTGTATTTTTTTTATAATCCTCAATATTCTACCTAAAACGAAAGTATTAAAACTAATTATCATAAATAATATTAAGCAGGCTTTAAGGGATATTTTAGCATTGTAGTAGATATAATTTATCATTTTCGTCACTACTGTATTTTTGCATTAATTTAGTCATCGAAGTTGTTTAATTACGTCATCCTAAACTCTAAATCCTAACTTAAAATCCTAAATTGTAACCACTAAACTTAAAACTATAACTTAAAACCCTAGATAATAATAAATATTTTAAACATGGGTATGATTAACTAACTTTGAAAGCTAAATTGATGCAAAGATACTATATGAACGAAAATTATAAATTGTGTCTACTACAATAACAAAATTAACCCTTAAGCATATTAAAAGTAATACTAATAGAATAGAATATATAATTACACGTTTGATATTACATTTTTTTGGAAATAAAAAGCTAAAAGTTATAGAAAAACAATATTTTTTTTGTATGTAAAATAATTAATTTAAATCTCAATAGCTCTTAAAATCTATTTGAGAATGGATCTGTCTTCCAGGTCTCCATGTGCCTCTCTATAAGCAAAACCTCATTATGGAGATAGACAAGTGCATAGGCCCGGTTCTCAAGATTAACTATCACACTGAAAGTGGTTGTCGGGGTAAGTTCGCTTGCATGGCCGTGAGTATTGACCTCCGAAAGCCCTTCGTCTCGAAAATCCATGTCAATGGATTGGTGCAACTGGTGGAATATGAGTCATTGCCAATGATTTGCTTCAGCTGTGGCTGTTATGGACATGTCAAGGAATCTTGCTCAGTGATTCAAGTGCCACCTAAATCCGACAACCTGCCCGAGTCTCGGCGGTACGATTCTGCTGGGCAGAATAACAATAGTGACTCCTTATTTGGACCTTGGATGGTCGTTGAGCGTCGCCCCCGCCGTAACTCAAAGCAACCTTCTGTAGCTCAGAATTCTGGTAACTCTCCCGCTGCTCCCGGTTCTAGATTTAATCCAATCGTGGATGTTGCTGAAGGTAATGATCAACCAAGTAATGACCCCCCGCTCCATCGTATCCCGCTCCTCCTCAGGAAAACAACAGAATTCCCGATGTTTCCAAGTTAACTAAAACCATAAGAAACAGTAAGGGCAAGTCACTGCCAAAAAACCACTCGTTCTGGCCACCTCAGGCAGCCGTCTCAATAGCTCTAAAACCCAAGCATGCAGCAGCTCATCCCACCCTGATACCACCCAGCGTATCACGATACTTGACAGGTCCAAGCACTCGGCGTTGGTTATCAATGAAAACACAGATCCCAACACAGTACCTTTGGACGTCCCCAATATCTCCCATACAGCTAAAGAGACCCCGAAAGTGATTCCAGCTCACCCTAGTGATGCTCAACCCCTCGAGCCTGACCTGTTTAACACGATAGCCTCAAGATTGGTGTGTGCCACTCATGTTGCTTCAGGACTTGTTCCGCATGAGAACCAGACGAATGGTCATGTTGATGCCATGTTGGAATAACTCTCCCTTCCTCATCAGGTTTAAATGAATTGCAAAATTATATGTTGGAACGTCCGGGGGTGTGGTCACCCAAAATTTATCACCGTTGTCTGTGAGTATCTCCGGGAGCATAACCCGGACATTTTTGTGTTTTTTGAACCTAGAATCTCTGGTTGCTGAGCCAATGGTATTATCAATGCCCTCGGGTTTTCGAACTCTCATTAGCTGTCGGGTTCTCGGGCGGTATCTGGATTTGATTCACTTTCAGTTTGTTCATGTTCAGGTCACTTGTTCTTCTGATGACAGCTCTTTCCTCGTCACTATTGTTTATGCGAGTCCGATTGCTACCAAGTGTAAACATCTTTGGGCTTGGCTTAATCATCGAACCACTTCGAAGAGCTCTCCTTGGATTATTCTCGGTGACTTTAATTTGACCACCAATATATTTGAGAGGAATAGGAGTGAGTTTTCCACTAAATCTTGCAAGGACTTTCAAAGTTGGATATATGACCACGACTTACGGGATATGGGGTTCCAGGGGGCCCTAATTCACTTGGATCCGACGCTTTGTCTCAGCTCGTCTTGATAGAGTGATTTGTAATGCCAAATGGGATGAGCTCTTTCCAGAAGCAGCTGTTATTCATCTTCTCCGCATGCACTCTGATCACTGGCCGATTTTGCTTGTTGTAGTAATCTTGACCGAAAACATATGTCCAAGAACTTTCGCTACATTTCGGGCTCCTCTCCCACGAAGATTTTCCTTGTATGGTTCGCGATAATTGGTTTTTTTTTTCTCTTGCTGAAACTATTTCCCGATTGACTGAGGTTGCATACTATTGGAATCACACAACTTTTGGCTATATTGGCACCAAGAAAAAAATCGTCTTGGCGCGCCTTAAGGGAGTTCACGAGGCCATCAAGAGGAGACATTCTAGCTTTCTTATGCATCTTGAAACCGACTAAATGACAAATCTTGAAAAGCTCTTTATCTTATAAAGGACCTTTAGAATCAACAGTCTCGAGTTCAATGGGCGTCCCAAGGAGACCCTAATACTAAATACTTCCACCGCAAAACGATGCAAAGGAAACAACGCAATAGGATCATTGCTCTTAAGACCTCGACTGATTAGTGTCATGATGAGGGTGAGCTCAAGGAAGAACCCGCTGACTTCTTTCAGAAACTCTTTACTATTGATTCGACAGCCCTATCACCCCCGAGCGTGGTGTGTGCCAAGGTGATCCCCTCTCACCTTATCTGTTTGTTCTTGCTATGGGGCAACTCGGCCATCGCATTTACTCTATTGTGCGTAATAATGACTGAAAACCATTCCTCTTTGGTCGTCACGAACTGCACGTTTCCCATTTTTTCTTTGCAGATGACCTTGTCCTCTATGCGAGAGTGGATTTATGACAAGCAAACGTCATTGACTCTATCCTGACTGAATTCAGCAACTTCTCGGGACATAGAGTTAGCAAAGCCAAGACCCACATATATTTCTCTCCCAATACTGACTCGGCCTCTTGTTCTTTGGTCATGGCCAAGCTTGGTTTTCAAGAGGTTGACTCTTTAGGCAAGTACCTTAGTGTTCCTGTTTTTCACAATAGAACCATGGTACTTGATTATTCTTTTATTGTGGATATGGTTCGCAACAAGCTGTCGGGATGGACTGCCTAAACGCTTTCTCTTACCGGCCGTCTCACTCTCGCTAAGTCCGTTCTCAGTGCCATTCCGGTCTATTTCATGCAAACAATGTCTCTTCCAATGCGGATATGCAAGGATATTAAATAATGCATCCGAAAATCTATTTGGGGTTCCTCTGGCAATGTTTTGAAAGTCTCTTTAATCAATTGGGATGTTGTATGTCGCCTGTCGGATAAGGGTGGCCTCGGCATTCCTCACATTCATTAGAAGAACGTGGCGTTCATGATGAAACTTATAGCATTATTACCAATGTCGATGCTTATTGGGTTCAAATTCTCCGGTAAAAGTACAAAGTTCACGGTATTTGTCCTTCCTCCATCAATAGGCTGATCTGCTCCCCTCTTTGGCGGGGCTTATCTAAAGCCTAGAACACTCTTTTGCCAAGCTTAACCTGGTCAATTAGTAACAGAGGTTCGTGCAGCTTTTGGAATGATAATTGGGTTCCGGCTATAGGACCGTTACGCTACCACGCTCTCGACTCATCTTTGGTGTGCGATGATCTAATGGTTCAGACCATTGTTTCGTCTGATGGAACTCGGATATTCATTCTCTATCCTTGTTGATTACTCCTTTGGCGATATCCCACGTTCTCAATATCCGAGCCCCCATCTGAGCGATAGAGTCGATGTTCTAGTTTGGCATTGGACTGAAGACAACTCTTTCAAGGTGAGCTCTGCTTATGCGAAATTAATGGAGAATTGTTGGGAAGATTCTAACCCCACTTGGAAAGATATTTGGCATCTTCCAATTCCCCAACATCTGTTGCTTTTTCTTTGGCTCTCGGTTTAACAAAGACTCATGACAAATAGCAAGAGTGTTAGGTATGGCTCATAAATATACCAGTAAAGAGGACAGGAGATGGAGCGGAGTGAGCGAAGCAAACATCAACTGTCCTTACAAAGAAAGTCTCGTTGTGGGGTTACGAATTATGTGGGTTGGGGGTGCGGGGGCGCAACCCCCGTGGTACGGTACAGGGTTGATTTTGTAATTATGTACCAGGGTTTTCTATTATAAATAGATATGTAACCTAGACCTAAAATATGATTGAATAAAACTTCTAGCGCCGCCTAGGCACC